CACACCTACAATTCAGCTTTAATATTGATGGATATGTTTACAAATTACATGTGTTTTAAAAGTACAGTTATCCTTTAAGGTCGGCATCACAAAAATGCGTTGAGGTAATGCATGGTAAAACACAAGCTTTATCAGAACACACATTAATGCACAGCACTTTGTGTGGTGAGTTGTGCTGCCATTCGTTTACAATGCCACACCCAACAAAGTGCATTGTCGTGCGTGGCTCAGGTATGTTTTTCATTTATAGCTTGCAATTCATCCATTGTGGTTATGCACCGCAACAGACTACTAAAGTGTGAAGGGACCCTGAGGGTTAAATATACAAGCAATAAGAACAATGGTGCAACAAAACTTATAAAATTACTCTTTATTGCTGCATAAAGCATTGCGCTCTGATCACAATTATCTCCTTAGCTGGCACATGATTTAGGGATCTATTTAAAAAAACATTTGTTGGACAAATATCACATACATTTGTGTAGGGTATATACATTTTCCCGTGTTTTCTGTAATCAATTAATTTCTATGATTATTGGCTCCATCCAGTGGCCAAAATGCAGTAAACTTTCTCATTGAGGTTAAGAAAAGTATACTGCATTTTGGCCACTAGATGGAGCTGATGATCATAGGATTTAATCTATTACAGAAAATACAGGGACAATTCGTCCAGCCTGCATGAATATGGGTGACATTCCTCCAATGAATGTTTTATAAATAGACCACTTAGTGTTTGTTTGTTTTTTTTGTTTTTTAACGAATGCAAACCATAGTGGCATTACAGCAAACATTAAAAATAAAAAAAAATGATATTCTTTTTCCTGTAGCAGAATCTTATACTGAGAATTGTTAAGGATTAAATTTAGAGGAACATTCCCCATGTATGTTCTTTAGCTGAAAACAAGTACAGCTACAATTATTGCTTTCATTGAATGAATGTACTATGAGTGCAGGAAAAATACCATGATCCCGAAATTCAAAATGCATGTAAAGCCAAAACGTATGTATTTTATGTTTTGGATAAAGTAGGAAAGGGTCAAAACTCCAACCAGTTTATCTTTTCCAGTCTGTATTACAATGGGGACATTTCCCTTTACTTCTTGTCCTAAAGATGAAACAGGAAGTGAGAGGAAATCTCTCCAAAGTGAGGGAATTCCACTCTAACAGGTGCCTTCATTGATCTCCAAGACAAATAGAGATGACTTTCCCCACGGTAATAGAGACAGCTATAAAAAGCTGGCAGGAGTTCTAACCCTCATCCATGTCATCCCAAACTAAGATTAAAAGGTTTTGGCTACATATACACTTTAACTGGGTAAATAATGAACCTCATTTTGGAAGAATCACTTGGTATTAAAGTGGAACTTTAGCCAGAAACTTAAGTCCTGCTAGATGACTTCAGGATGGCCCCTTTTGCAGGTATGTAAAACATTATACTGTTTAAAATCCAGTAATACACTTTTGCACATACTCAGTTGCTCTGTATTTTAGGCACTGTGCCACAAATGTAGAGGCCGATCTGCTGACAGCCTAAAGATTTACTGCTGTTCAGGGCTCTGGGCTTCAGCAAAATGTTCAGCCTAAAGAGCAATGCTGGAGGCAGTTTACAGCACACACTCAGTTTGATAGCATAATTAATAATACGGAATACTTGCTAAAGAACATTGTTTTTTTATCAATGTTATGGGTAAGGTTCCACTTTAATATACTGCAATACACTTGATTCTCTGAGGTGCCCCCCTGGTTTTAATAAAAAGCTAAACTTTGACTGTAGGATCCATTTGGAGAACTGGCAGTCGTGCAGACTTAAAAATTCACACATCTCCACAGTAAAGTGGAATATGATATGAAAACAGCAGGAATATGTGTCACAACATTTGTCTCTTGTAGGCAGATAAAACAATTTAGGGAACTTAATGGTGATGAAAGCCTCTGAAACTAAAGCATGACATAAAAGAACCTTTTTCTAAAGCTGCACACTTATCATTCAAAGGTAATCTATCAGCAAACCAATCTACAGTGCTAAACGGATTGACCAAAATCATGACTGTAACACCACCGAGTTCACACCTTGTACTTTGCTGTATAAGCACAATCCAGAAATACCTGGTAGTAAATCTGTGTATTCAACACTAAATAAATCCTGGATATAAGTAAATTAAATTAGTAATAGCTTGTGTGCTCAATGCAGAATTTCAATGATTCCATTCTGGACACGAAACCTTTGTTAGTGTTTATCCATCTTATTCATAAAGATTTCTTTTACTTAAAGTGGAGTGCCACCTTCCCAACCAACCACCAAAACCCCATAATTTCGCCTGTAAGTCTATATTTTTTCTGTTACAAATTAAAGGTTTTTTTTTAGAAATGTTGTCGTACAATGAATTAAGAGGAAGAACATTTTACAATGGTTTGCACATTTTGTAGGTTACAATGCAGGGAATGTTTGTAAGTTTTACATCAAAGATGAGTTAGAGCTGATTCACGTATTTGGTGCGGATTGAAGCTCAGGTCTCACAGCTAATTGATACAGTAGTTGTTCAGCGGTTCACGTCAGGTTTACATCAGGTTCAGGTCAGGATTAGCTCAGGATCTTATCCTGTTCACACACATGCGGTTTAGAAACGGTTCCGATAGAAGTCAATAGCCTGTAATCCGCACTTGAACCTGACCGCATTGCTCATTTGTACATGACTCTTTTAAAAACTGCACTGAATCTGCACCACCAGTGCACTGGACATACGTGAACAGGCACCATAGGAAGCAATGTTTTTTCACATGTCCTTCGGATTAGATGCAGTTCAAACCTCATTCAATCCGCATATAGTGAAGGAAATAAGTATTTGATCCCCTGCTGATTTTGAATGTTTGCCCACTCACAAAGAAATGATCAGTCTAAAAATCGAATGGTAGGTGTATTGTAACACTGAGAGAATAGCAACAAAAAAATTCTAAAGAAATGCATGTCTAACAAATTATGCACTGGTTTGCATGTTCATGAGGGAAATAAGTATTTGATCCCCTATCATTCAGCAGGATTTCTGGCTACCAGGTATCTTTCATACAGGTAACAAGCAGAGAATAGAAGCAGTCCCTTGAAAGGAGTGTTGCTAATCTCATTTTGTTACCTGTATAAAAGACACCTGTCCACAGGAGCAATCAAACAATCAGATTCCAAACTCTCCACCATGACAAGACCAAAGAGCTGTCCAAGGATGTCAGAGACAAGATTGTAGACCTACACAAGGCTGGACTGGGCTACCAAACTATCGCCAAGCAGCTTGGTGAGAAGGTGACAACAGTTGGTGAAATCATAGGCAAATGGAAGAAACACAAAACAACTGTCAGTCTCCCTAGGTCTGGTGTACCATGCAAGATTTCACCTCGTGGAGTGTAAATAATCATGAGAACAGTGAGGAATCATCCCAGAACTAAACGTGAGCATCTTGTTAATTATCTCTAGCTAGTTGGGACCACAGTCACCAAGAAAAACAATTGGTAACACACTACGCCAACAAAGACTGAAATCCTGCAGTTCACGCAAGGTCCCTCTGCTCAAGTAAGCACATGTCCAGGCTCGTTTGACGTTTGCCAGTGAACATCTGAATGATGCAGAGGAGGACTGGTTGAAAGTGTGGTGGTCAGATGAGACCAAAATTGAGCTCTTTGGCATCAACTCATCTCGCCATGTTTGGAGGAGGAGGAATGCTGCCTATGACCCCAAGAACACCATCCCAACTGTAAAACATGATGGTGGAAACATTCTGCTTTGGGGGTGTTTTTCTGCTAATAGGACAGGACAACTTCACCACATCAAAGGGACGATGGACGGGGCAATGTACCATCAAATCTTGGGTGAGAACCTTCTTTCCTCATCCAGGGCATTGAAAATGGGTCATGGATGGGTGTTCCAGCATGACAATGACCCAAAACACACGGCCAGGGCAACAAAGGAGTTGCTCAAGAAGAAGCACATTAAGGTCCTGGAGTGGCCTAGCCATTCTCCAGACCTTAATCTGATTGATCTGTGGAGGGAAGGGGGGATAAGGGATGGGTTGGATCAGGTCTAGGGAGGATCCCTTTCCTGATGGCATCTAGATGCCTGTTAAAGTCACCACAATGGGTCACTTTCGTTCCCCTCAATAATTGAAGATTCAGGGATTACAGATTTTAAGTGTTATTTTTTAACTTCCATTAACAAACCAAGCTATCAAGCAAAACTGGCAGTTAGAGGGTTGTGAGAAACCACTTAAAGTAACATTAAACTCTGCTTCAAAAAAAACTCCACCAAATCAGTCTCCTCCAAATTCCTTTTTTTTTTGTTGCTGGCATGATCTGACTTCCATTTAGAGGGTGGCTACATTCATTCTCCATGGTCCCAATAGATGTACATAGCCACCCTCTATCGCTCACTCCTGAGATGGATTATGAACGATGGGATTTATTATGTGCATATAGCAGTGTACATGATTGTAACTAACATGCACTGCTTACTCCAAACAAATGGAAGTGAGCGGGGAAAAGGAGAGGTTCAGAAGCTCAAGAAGAACATTACAAGGAAGCAGAAAAACACAGTGAGAAACTATTTCATGAAAAAGACATTACAGGGCCTTTAAAGCGGTAGTAAACTCGCCAGGACAAGTCAGCATCATGTGAACCAGTATAAAATTACTTACTAGTGGGTGTCTTTAAAGGTTATTTCAGGAGCACTGTTTAAAAGATATCACCCACTCCTTGTTTAACCACCTCCCACCCCGTCATATAGTAATATGATAGTCGCAAGGTGGTTCTCTCGTTCTGGGAGGACGTCATTCAAACCGCGCATGCGCGGCTCCCAGAGCACACAGCGCAGTGATCGGTGGTGCGCTGTGTCCCTCAGACACAGCAGATCACCGATCCACGGAAGGAGCCAAAGATGTCGGCTCGGTCATGTGATCAGCTGTGTCCAATCACAGCTGATCACATGTAAACAGGAAAATGCTGGTTATTTGCATTTCTCTCCCCACGAGCTGTCACGCTGACAGCTCGTGAGGAGAGGAGAGCCAGTGATTGGCATTCCTCGGAGGGAACGTGTACACAGATCATCAGGGCACTGATGATCAGTGTGCCCTGAAGATCTGTGTAGCACCAGCAGCGCCACCTGTCAGTATCCATCAGTGCCAGCTCTCAGTGCTCATCCATGCCACCTGCCAGCCAGTACCCATCAGTGCCACATCAGTGCCACATTTCAGTGCCACATCAATGCCACATATCAGTGCCCATCTGAGCTGCCTTTCAGTGTCACCCATCAGTGCCAGTCAGTGCCGCCTATCAGTGTCAGTCAGTGCCGCCTATCAGTGTCAGTCAGTGCCGCCTATCAGTGCCACCTAGCAGTGCCAGTCAGTGCCGCTTAACAGTGCCAGTCAGTGCCGCCTATCAGTGCCATATATGAGTGCTGCCTTTCAGTGCCCATCAGTGATGCCTGTCAATGCCCATCAGTGCCACTTACCAGTGCCTCCTCATCAGTGCCACCTATCAGGGTCCATCAGTGCAGCCTATCAGTGCCCATCACTACAGCTTCATTAGCGCTCATCAGTGAAGGAGAAAAATCACTTATTTACAACATTTTATAACAAAAACTAAGAAAAAACATTTTTTTTTTTCATTTTCAGTGGTTTTTGCATGGTTTAAGAAAAAATAAAAAACCCAGAGGTAATTAAATACCACCAAAATAAAGCACTATTTGTCACGAAAAAAAACAATAAAAATTTCATATGGGTACAGTGTTGCATGACCGCGCAATTGTCATTCAAAGTGCGACAGCGCTGAAAGCTGGAACTTGGCCTGGGCAGGAAGGGGGTATAACTGCCCTGTAGGCTAGTGGTAAATTACGTCACTTGCACAAGCGCATTGTTATCCCAGATTGACGGCACAGAGTGTGCCGTCAATCAATACAGAAATGTGCCGTGTCACCGTCAGCATTACCCCACGGCATTATGTTGTAATCTCGCGAGATTGCTGACCATTCACCAGTGCCTTGGTATAGCCTTACTGTGCAGGGCTGAAGTTCAGAAGAGGTAAGGAGTGAGAGGACTCCACAAAGATGGCTGCTATAGACAGAACGGGCTACAGAAATAATAAAATGCAGAAAATTAGTCACAATTACATGACGCTCTCGATTATTCCTATGTGTTTAAGCCTGGGTTCACACATATGCGGTGCGGATGTGGTACATCGTATGTGATTCGCACAGGAACCGCACCGCATTCCTGTGCAAAGCACATGCGATTTGTGTGCGGTGCGATCGGAGCAATACATTCTGTATAGCTCAAATCGCACTGCACCCGCACCAAAAAGGTGCAGGACCCTTTTTTAGAGTCCACACTAGAATCAGATCGCATAGGTATTCACACCTATGCGATCTGATTCTGCACATCACACCACGTTTTGTGGACCGATTTCGGGCTGTTGTTAACTTAACATACACACCCGCATTGGTTCACATGAACGAGATGCGATTCTGATGCGGTGCGGAATTCGCACAGAAAACGCTGCAAATTCCGCACCGCATCAGTGTGAACCCAGGCTAAAAGTGCATTTCATTCTGGTAATATGCTTCTATTGGCTTAGATGTATTGACTACCGCTTTAAGTAGTGGATGTGTATGGACTATTTTTGAAGAATAATCGTTTAGTGCCACTTTAACATGGACTTACGGCATGATACTTACAATGATCAGCTTTTATTCATTTATGTAAAACCTTTATCTCAAAAGGGAAAAAACGGTTTGCTGTAAATGTGTATAACGTGTGAGCTGGAGTTTGATATAAAGAGTAACTTCATTTACTCAATCAACAATTGATATTTTTCATCCTTATGCTGCTAGTATTAATAAATAGATATGGAAGTTTATCATATTTATTTGTTTTAAACGTTTTTTACATTTTTGCAGTAACGTCTGGTTTCCATGCCTAGGCAAAGGGGGCATACATACCAGGAGCCTTCAGGTGGGGAGGAGGTGTTTTCTCAGTTAAGCACACCCTCCCGTCTGCATGCCTGAGCTAAGGGCAGATGCCCTTAAATGCTACATGAATCATCCACCATTATTCAAGATGGCCAGGGCCATAAATACTAGGAGGTGTTTTCCAAATTGATTTTTCAGCAAAATAAAGCGTGGAGACAAGGATGGATGGGGGAGTTTGCTTTGAATAGTAAAAATAAAATTAAATAGCGTTTTTGGTTTGTGGTGCTCAGATGCAGTAGCGTTCCACTTTGGTAGTCAAATCCATCTAAATCTGCTAGTGCATCCAACACTACCCTTATCACAGAAACTGACAATGCTGCTGTCCAAAGGTGGCTCCATTGCTCCTCCATCCAGAGTGGGAACATCCTAAGAAAGGAAGTGTGTTATTGGCTAGATCATCAGCTAAAGATAAAGGAAAAGAAAATGAATGCATCCAACACATTTAGAGACTGTAAAAGGAGAAGTACAAGTAAAGCTCTTTTGGCTGTACTTCTATGGATCACAGGAGTGTAGTTCTTTCTGCAATCCTGTTGCCCGGGCTGAAGCCTGCTGTCGGCTGATGTCACAGAGCTGGTCCAGGCTGGGGAAGGAATGGAACCATATGGTCAGGATCCACGCTAGAGTCTGGACTCCCTCTGCATCCACAGTCCAGTGCTCCAGTGAGCAAGGGAAGTTGGGGGGGGGGGGCAGAGCAGACAGCAGTGACTTACAGTGAGTGCTCTCTGCTCACATCAGCGGTGAGACCTCAGCGATCAGTGGTCATGTGACCGCTGCGGTCTCACACTTAGAGCCAGCAGGGGACAGATTTAACATTGGACCGATGCTGCATCCACCTAACTAAAAAAATTTCCTATACAGGTGTACCTGGGTTTATGAACGCCTCGGTTAACGTAATTTTCGTTTTACAAATGAAAATCCATTGAAAATAATGCCTCAGTTTACAAATTTTTTACAAATTGTTTTCGCAATACGAAGGGTATGTCAGTGCCGATTTTTAAATGCAATTTCCGTTTTTTTTTTCTTCACTATAGCTCACAGAATTAGCTGTCACTTTCCTCGCAGCTAAAGGATACGATACTTTATTTCTTTTATATCGGGAAATAAACTAAGGTTCCATGTACACGGGACACTTCTGAACAATGGAAACTGCTGAAAAAAACGTAGGTTAAAAAACATCTGTTTAGCCGCATTTGCATTTCGTGTTTATGCGCATTTGTGTTTAGGATCATTTTTTAAAGATAAGCACAGGAGAACCTCCCAAATGCCTAGAATGCGCTGAAAAGTGATAAATTATTACCTATTTCAGACTGTGTCAGAGAAATACAGAGAGTAGAAGCAAAGACAGCAGTATGTGTTGAGATTAGCTTAGGTGTGATTTGCTCATTAAAATTTCTTTTGTTTCCAAGTGTGGGAAAGGTGTCTGGTGGAGTGAGTCATTAAGGCCACCTGGCAGGGGGTCTGCATGAGGAATTTGAGGTTCCATATCTTTTGTTTCCAAGGGTGGGAAAGGTGTCTGGTGGAGTGAGTCATTAAGGCCACCTGGCAGGGGGTCTTTATGAGGAATTTGAGGTGTGAATGGTCATTAACATATCTTTTGTTTCCAAGAAAGGTTTTGGTGGAGTGAGTCATTAAGGCCACCTGGCAGTGAATTGGTCAATTGGTCAACAATGTGTGACACGCTTGGTAGGAACATCCTGTGTTCAGTGTTTTGTCCATTTGAGTACCTTGAAAACGCTTTGCATGCATTTTTCATGATGAAAAAACGCCCTGGATAGCATCGGGAATTGGAAGAGTAAAAAAAAATTTCAAACAAAACTGCTGATAAACATGATTTGCCGCATTTACAAGTGGTTTGTGTTTGAAGCGCTGATAAAATTGACTGCTGAACGCAAGTTTTCTGCGTTAAATAAAACGACTAAAAACTCAAATGTCTGTAAACAACTGTAAACGAAGATGTGTACATGAAGACATAGAAAAACATTAGGGTGAGTTCAAGGGCTGCTGAAAAAAACGCTCTCTAAACGTGAGTTTATCAGCTGCAGTCTACATTAACTCGGGGAAATAAACATTAAAGGAAACTTTCTTTCTTTTAGCTGGGGGAAAGTGACAGCTGATTCTGAGCTATAGTGAAGAAAAAACGGTAATTAGATTTAAAAAAACCGGCACTGACCTATAGTGACAGCGACTTTTTTTTTTACTTTTTTCTGACCTCTGGAACGGATTAATTGGTTTTCAATGCATGCCTATGGGAAACCACGTTTCGGTTTTCAAATTTTTTGCAATACAAAACATTCCAGAGAACGCATTAAATGCGTAAACTGAGGTACACCTGTACTTTTCTTTTAAGTTTATTTTCAAGTGCAGTAACCCATATCAAGCCAAAAAAAAAACCTTATACCCCTCCATTCAGTCTCAGAATAGAGTAAAAATCTCCAATGGAAACAATGATTAAAAACCAAGGGAGGTTGTCATGTGTTTATTCTTCAAAAAAGACAGAGAGATTATTGCTGTTGTGCTTTATTAAAGAAAACTCATGAGTAAGGGGAAATCTTTCCTACAGAAACACAGAGAATTTACAATTAAAAAGTGAATACTTGTGAGCCACTATATCTCAAATGTTCAGTATATTATGTGCAATTAGTGGTAGTGAACTACCTGTTGTGTTAGGTGCGCTGGCACTTTCACAAACTCACTTAATTGTGTATATGTAAATTGATTAGACGTATTTATAATGCCGCGCTCCTACTGTAAATACTTAATACTGTATTGTATATCACTCATAAACATCAATAAACTAAATAAATTAATAATAAATATAATAAAAATCAATAAATTAATTAGTGTGATAAAGTGAATGAAAATCAAAACATTAATTTGCTAAATTGTGCCATTAGTGCTCAAACAATATTATCAATGCCATATTCCAATTTCATGATTAAATAAAGAGTCTTTTATATCTTTGTGCAAATGTGCATACAAAAATGAACAGTCTTAGATATCTTTGTGCAAAAGTGCAATGTGCAGGTGAACTCCTAAATCCCTCTTTCCAGGTGCCGTGTAGTCTCAATATGCGCTCACCTTAATATTTGCCCAAATAAATTTAGGCAAATAGACTTTTAGTCCTTCCAGGACTGGTGGGATAGTGCTCCTTTATGCAGTATTCCAGATGGATGTGCAGACCTGCTCAGATCCTCCTCCTATAATCTCCTCTCAATTCATCCACGTGGCCACTCATAGATAGACTTTTGAAAGGGGTATCAGTATCTCCTATTTCCCTCCTGGGGACACCTCCTTCTCATATCCACCTTTCCTCAGTGTTGAGTATATAGATCAGATGGAGAAAAAA